ATATATTTATATATATACATATGTCTGTTCTTGCTCTTTTGGAAATGTATCGTTTACTGCGGGTCGATAATTGAAATTCCGATGTTAGTGGGTGCCTATGGTCACTTTATAAGCATTATTTCTGCCTTTTTAGAACGTTATTTGTTTTGTGCAGATAACAAAGTTACTGAGGTCTCTACCAATTGTTCTTTATGTCCTCCGATTAACTTGTTTACTTTTATGATGTACTGCCTTTCTAAAAGCAAGCCGTCATTTGTTTTTTCTCTTATTGTGATATTATACCTATTGAACGCATGTTTTGCGAACCTTTAGTGTAAAAAATGTGTTGTCGATCAAACTAATTTCACGTAGGCCTAAGTAATAAGTTTTGCCACTAAAAAGTGTTATTGATGAACTGTGACGTAGGCCACATGCGTAAGCAAAATGTGTGTGAGAAGCGGGAAGTGTTGTGAACAATCCTATTAAACATTTTCTGTGTGATGGAGATTTATAGTATTTTATATAGATTTATGAAGAAACTTTTTTAAATCGAGCCTCGGTTGTTGTGGAAAAATGTGATTAAGTTAAGACAAATTGATGTAAGCTGATGTGCATCATGCAAAGTATGGGTGGCATTGATTCACCCGTTAAAGAGATATTTGAGGATAAGTTGCGCCACGAATTTTTTAACACACTAGGCTATTACATGTATACATGTACACGTCTCTAAAAATATTCACTACTATTCAGTATCGAACGTTGCGGATCGACTTGCATAATTGCCTAAGAAAAAAGTATTCACACACGGTACTCGCGTAACACGAATAATGACTTCACACTTCGAAGCTTCGATGAAGTTTCGTTTCTCCAAAATCGCACGGCACTAGATCTATGGCTATCTGACAATCGCCATGCTTCATGTACTAGATTCAATACGTTCTGGTATTGTATTCTCCTATAGTCGCGATACATCATACACTATACGTTCATCAGCCTCACAGAATTATATAAATAAGTGTAGAATTCAGTAACAGCGTAACAGCCTGGCGGCCATGTTCCAGCCACTTGTGCGTGTGCCCTTGACCTAGTTTTTTTTAACAATGGAAAGCGTCCCATCTCTGGCTACTGGCTAGGCCTACCCCATGTTCTTGTAAATGGAACGCGGGCGGCAGAGAACCAAAGTGAACTGTTGAAGTGCTTTTGGAGAAGTACTTGTTGGATCAGATTGGCACATCATTTTTGGTGATTATATAAAAGCTATAGATCTAATATAATGCTTAGTCTCTGTCTTATCTTTGGAAACTTCTTTTTCGTGAAGAAGTTATGTAATCGTAGAGAATTATTTTTGTGTAGGCCTTTTTTTTCTCTATGCTTAGTCTTCCTAAGCAATTGAAATTGCCCCTTTAGAGGAGAAAAATAGAATTAAATAATCGTTGTGTGGGATGATATCAATAATATATTTGACAAAAGCTGTTTCTTTCCATCTCGGTTCTGTCAGTTTTGCTGAGTAATACATTTGAATTACTCCCATTAAAATATTAATAATGTTTGTTTTCTCCCTGAGCATCGTGAAATGTGCAGCCACTGGTCTGGTTTCGTCTCAGAGAAGGCCTAGGTTACCACTCATGCACCTGATTAGACTCTATGTTGTTGTAAACAGTCTCTATATCTATTGGTTGAGAATGACAGAATGTTCCTTCTGCTTGCAATGCGTTAAAATAATCTTTTATTAAAAAATCGGGAGAGAATCTGGGTTGAACAGGTACTTGAGTAATGGTGATATGAGCTAGAGTTAAGAAGTTTCGATTCGATTTTTCTTTGAGGGTGGGGGGGAGGGGGTTGACATTTTCACCTGAAATATTTATTCACTTTGCTTTATTGTGGGGTATCTGAGTAAGACTTATGACAATGAAAGAATGGCGCGAATAAGGACGGGGGTAAAGAAGGGAGGTGGTGTCGAAATGACCTACTTTCAAGTGTTCGGGATTCGGAAGCAAATGAAACCACGCGGTGAAAGACGAGAGTCTCGGTCGGTGCAGTCTATAAGTAGACACTCTGGCAATACAAAGCCACTCAGGTCACTGTAGCAGGTTGGCGTGAAGACTTTTTCCAATTTCCAATTTTGACGCAGCAGACGATAAAAATCTGGGGTTTGGAAATTTGGAGCTCTTTTACGTCTCAGATTTGACTCTTCGTTTTGCTAGGCAACAAAGATGGCGGACAAAGACGAAGCACAGACGAAGAGACCCAAGCCAACAAAAAAGAAAGGGCTCCCTCCGATTTCTCCACGAGCCAATGCAGACGAGAATGACGAAACAGATAAAATAAAACCTGTCAAGAGGAAGCCCAGAAAAAAAGCTTCTGCCTCTGGGGCCAACGAGCAACCATCATCGCCAACTTCGGACCCAGGAAACGGAGAGGTAAGTCGTCTAAAAAAGTCTACGTTAGTGTTAGATCTAGACTAGACTAGATATCTAGATCTAGACCTAGAGTATATAGATTCTAATTCTAAATCTTGATTTAGATCTATAATCTAGATTTAGATATATAAATTTAGTCATAGTCTGACATAGTTAGATATTAGTGACATGTTAACATCTGAAAGCATACACAATAAAGGAAGAGGCTAGCCGTACTTAATGACGGCTAGACTGCCAGTCTAGCCGTACTTAAGTACGGCTAGACTCACAGTCTAGTTTCTTAATATGATGGATAGACTGACCATTTACAAAAAATAGGCCTACTGAATTGTAAATATACATTTTTAGTGTGCAGTACCTAAAGTATTTGTATTTGAGACAAAACCAGGTTCCTTAATGACAGTGCATGTATTTTAAACCTCCTGTTTTCTAATGTAAATAGGGCCTAAGATAAGTACGGCTAGACTGGCAGTCAAGCCGTACTTAAGTACGGGTAGACAGCCAGGCTAGCCGTACTTAAGGACGGCTAGACTGTCAGTCTAGCCGTACTTAATATTGATGGCTGAATTGTAAATGAAAATTTTAGTTTGCAATGCCTAAAGTATTTGTATTTCAGACAAAACCAAAAGGTGCCTTTCTGACTTGCATGTATTTGAACCTGAATAATAACTAGATCTAGATCTCATGAGACCTGTGTACTTAACAGGATTGAGTCGATTGGGCCAAACCTAGATCTAAGTACGGCTAGACTGGCAGTACTTAAGTTCGGCTAGCCACTTCGCACAATAAATATGACATGATTAGAAAAATCAGTGGCGTGACTGTGATTCGAATCTGCGAGTGAGGGAAGCAAACATGATTCCAGCAGCATTATGACTATGCCAAACAGCTGGTGTTACCAGTGAGTAAAAAAAAGTTCTTATAAACCTACTTTTAGTTAAGAGGGAGTGTATCACCTTTCAAAACTCCCAAAACGCTATTATTTTTTACTTCGAAGGGTTTTGACGAGGGTGAACGGAAAAGTTATACAAATAAAGATTTCATTTCGCACGTAATTTGAATGGAAGAAGAAGCGGGGAAAAAATTATCCTAACCCTAAAAGGGGCAAGCACCCCCCCCCCCCCCCCCCCCATAAAAAGAAAGTAAGAAGAGCTGCGCCTGATCCCCCCTCGGCCCCAGATTACCCTATAGAAAAGAAAAAAGAAAACCTACCCTTCGCAACGAGCGACCACCTCAATAAACACAAGAAAGAAGAGTCCTGACCCTACTCCTACCCGATGTGCTGCAGACTTGTATCTAGCCCTAAAGCCTCTACACACACGCGTAATGTGCCATGCGCAGGCCTGCCACATGGCCCAAATCCCTGTTCATGGGTACCCATGAATAAGTACAGCTGGATTAGTCCACAAATGCTTACTGCCCTTGCTTTTCTGATTTAACAGGGATCTGAGTCTGATAGAACAGGACTTTTTTCTCTGGTCCCACCATCCCTGTTATATCAAGTTTCCACGGTAGCTTAAAAAAGTTAACAAAATGAGCATAGTACCGTGGCATCTCTCAATACCGTCCGCCAGGGTTGGTGATTTTTTTTATTTTTTAAATAAAACTATAAAAAATCGATTTTAAAAATTTAAATCAGATTTTTTTTAGTTAAATCGGATTTTTTTGATTTTTAAAAAAATGTCGACACAGTTTGGGATTTTTGGTGGCTAAAAGTAAGTTCTTTTAGTGCAAAATGCATTGTCTTTATTTTAACTAATGATTAATTTAAGCAACTGCAATTTTAGAAAGCTTTAATCTCCTATATCAGTGAATTATGGCTACAGACAAAAAAATGAAGAAAATGTCAGTCTAAAAGGAAGGGGGGGGGGGGGTAATTATGCATAGATAAACTTGCATTTTATTACAGTGTGTGTGTGTGCACGCGCGCTTGTGTTTATCTGAACAGAAAAAGAAAATCCTAATTTCAATAATGAAAAAAAGTAAATTGAATACTGTATTATTTTACTACTTACAGTGACAGGGGGGAAAGCAGACTTTTAAGCATGATTATTTTAGTCTACTAAACTTTATATCTGTTTTATAAAACCAAGGAAAGGAATTTTGAATGTTTAAAGATGTAAAAACAGAATACATTTTTTTAAAGTGATTGAAATCACTTAGTTTTATTTTTAAAATCAAGTTGATTAAAATTTTTAAAAATCAACTGATTTAAATCGATCCAACCCTGATTTTCAATATGAAAAAAAAGTAAATTGAGAACTGTATTATTTTACAGTGACACTGTTTTATAAAACCAAGGAAAGGAATTCTGAATGTTTAAAGATGTAAAAACAGAATGCATTTTTTTAAAGTGATTTAAATCACTGAGTTTTATTTTTAAAATCAAGTTGATTAAAAAAAATTTTAATCAACTGATTTAAATCAACCCAACCCTGGTTTTCAATTATGAAAAATAAGTAAATTGAGAACTGTATTGTTTTACAGTGACAGGGGGGAAAGCAGACTTTTAAGCATGATTATATTAGTCTACTGAACCTTATATTGTTTAATAAAACCAAGGAAAGGAATTCTGAATGTTTAAATATGTAAAAACTGAATACATTTTTTTGAAAAGTGATTTAAATCACTGATTTATCAAGTTGATTGAAATATAAAAAAACAACTGATTTAAATCAACCCAGCTGTGATTTCAATTATGGAAAAAAAAGTAAATTGAATACTGTATTATTTTACAGTGAAAGGGGGTTAAAGCAGACTTTTAAGCATGAATATATTAGTCTACTAAACCTTATATCTGTTTTATGAAACCAAGGAAAGGAATTCTGAGTGGTGAAATGTGTAAAAACTGAATAAAATAAAATTTTTTAAAAAGTGATTTAAATCATAAATCAAGTTGATTTAAATTTAAAAAATCAACTGATTTAAATCAGCCCAACCCTGCCGTCCGCTTCCCTTACTCTTACCATCCACTAGCTGACTTCATCAAGCTTATTCAGCTATCCTGGGCAATCGACTGCGTTTTGTTTTGTTTTTTTGCGTCAGTTGTATGTTTTGAAGTTTTTCCCACCGCCATTTTGATATTTTAGCACCAAGTACTCGCCAGTTTTGGCTGTTTTCACCAATTTTTCCAGAAAGTAGATCTAGATAAACATTCCAATACGTGAAACAAGGATTAATTTTGAACATAAGTATGCATTACAAGAGTTAGAAATGGCGATGAGAAAAATAAATTTTGACGGAAATATTTAAACTCACCAAACGAGTGAAAGCAAATCAGCATAGCTTTCTTATATCACAATCAGGCCAAGAGCATAATCCATAAATTTCTGAATGCGCAGCTTTTTATTTGAAAGCAGTATATTAAAATGTTTGTTAGTTATGATATTTATCGAGTCCGGTTACATCGTTTTGTTGATGCCAGACCGCAAGAACTAATTCACTCGTTTTTCGCCAAATCGACGCTTTGAAAAAGTGAAACTATATATATATCATGTATGTTTTCATTTCCTAAATCCTTTCCAAGTTTTCAACTACAATTTAAAAAATACTTATAAATGATGGATCATGTTAAAATGCAACAAAACTGAGACCCCCCATCATTGCCGATATATCGACGATACGTCCGCCAGGGGTGTGGACTCGCAGCGATATATCAGTGATACGTCTGCCAGGGGTGTGGACTCGCAGCGATATATCAGTGATACGTCCGCCAGGGGTGTGGACTCGCAGCGATATATCAGTGATACGTCCGCCAGGGGTGTGGACTCGCAGCGATATATCAGTGATACGTCCGCCAGGGGTGTGGACTCGCAGCGATATATCAGTGATACGTCCGCCAGGGGTGTGGACTCGCAGCGATATATCAGTGATACGTCCGCCAGGGGTGTGGACTCGCAGCGATATATCAGTGATACGTCCGCCAGGGGTGTGGACTCGCAGCGATATATCAGTGATACGTCCGCCAGGGGTGTGGACTCGCAGCGATATATCAGTGATACGTCTGCCAGGGGTGTAGACTCGCAGCGATATATCAGTGATACATCCACCAGGGGTGTGGACGCAGCGATATATCAGTGATACGTCCGGAAAGAGTGAGGAATAAATACAGTATGTGACAGAGCAGTGAGTGGGGGGTGACGTGAACTGTGACAGGGCTGAAGACGGTAAGTTTAATGGACAGGAAGCGTGTAGAGTGTCATGGAGAGTTACCGTACATTTCCTCTGAGAAAGAAAAGCTCAGTTTGAGGACTCTGGTTAGAAAGAAAAGCTCAGTTTGAGGACTCTGGTTAGAAAGAACAAGCTCAGTTTGAGGACTCTGGTTAGAAAGAACAAGCTCAGTTTGAGGACTCTGGTTAGAAAGAACAAGCTCAGTTTGAGGACTCTGGTTAGAAAGAACAAGCTCAGTTTGAGGACTCTGGTTAGAAAGAACAAGCTCAGTTTGAGGACTCTGGTTAGAAAGAAGTTTGCACCCTGCCTTCAACTCAACGTAGTCATTGCTTCTTTGGCCAACCTCCAAGGGTCCTATTTTAAAGATCTGCTGTTTCTAAAGATTTGTTTTGGTTCCAACTCTACAATTTTGACTCCCCCATACTACTTATTAGTCTAAAGGGAGAAATTTTCTAATATATGATCCACCTGGTTCATTATGATACTTGCACAGCCAAGAGCCATTATAGAGAGAGTCCTAAATCATGAACTGTAAACTGTACATTTTATTAATCAAAATTGTATTGCAACTTGGTTTAAGATATTCTTCAGGATAATGCACAAATACAAACTGAAAGAAAATCACTTTCTGGTTTGTTTGTTTATTCCGCAACATCATTTTGTGGTATGCGAATCCAATAAATAAGGAAGAGGTTCTGTTCTTGTACACTTTGTGACTGTGGTAAAAGGAAGAAGGAAGGTGATCTTGAAAGTCAGGCGGGGGGGAGGGGGGGGGGGGGGAGGAGGGGGGGGGGACTTTGGCCCGAATTAGTACAAATTGATTAGATTGAGGAATCTGAGTATGTAAAAGCAGTCTCATAAATAAACCTGGCTTTGTTTGTGTAAAGTATCGGCAGTAAGCGTGGATGATATAGAAACTCGGATCCCCCAATGAATTCTTCAGGGACAAATTATGAGAAAGAAAAGAGTTGCAAACTGTAGATCTCTACTGATACGTGATATAAAATAATAAAATCATGTGTTGAAATGCTAGTACATGTAATCTGCTTTTACTTTGAATACTTTGTAAAAGTACTTTTCTTTTTAATTATTTAATGGCTGAATATGACGGCCTAACACAAATTCCAGAATGTCCCCTGTCTTCATGATGTGTTTGTGTCTGTTCTGCACTCTCCTGGCTCGGCCTCCACCTTTTTACAGCAAGTGTCGCATTGTAGTCCACAACACTTGGCCCTTCACCGCAGATGTACGTCTAATAATAGATCTAGTCCACAACACTTGGCCCTTCACCGCAGATGTTTGTCTAGAACAATCTCTCTGTCTCTCTCTCTCTCTGTCTCTCTGTCTCTCTCTCTGTGTCTCTCTCTCTCTGTGTCTCTCTCTCTCTCTCTCTCTCTCTCTCTCTCTCTCTCTCTCCCTCTCTCTCTCTCTCTCTCTCTCTCTCTCTCTCTCTCTCTCTCTCTCTCTCACACACACACACACACACACACAGCAAGCATGGCACAGACTGGCAGTGTATCGCCGTTGGTGCAGTTACTATAATTAGCTACCCAATGACAATTAATAACAATACTGCCGTAAGCTGACGAGACACCTTTTTGTCTTCCCAGCAGTTGGGAGAAAAAGACGTTTCTTTGTCAGCATAACTATTGAAAAAAAGAGTCATTCCGAAATTTGAATTCTAATTTATTCAAAAAGTAGTCACAGTTTCACTTTGATTTTCTCACACAAGTAGAGTAACTGATCAGACTTTCGATTTAGTGCCAAATAAACAATTTGGGCGTCAAAATGAAAAAAAGACATTTTGTCAGCTTACGGCTGAATCGACTTAGCTGTAATGTAGCGGATTAATAGCCGGAGGTTTACCAAGGTCATCCATGGATGCCACCTCTCTCAGGATTAAGTAAGAGAATACTCTAAAACAATGACTGTCTTGTGATAATAATGATCTAATTATTCAGTTCTAAATTTGCATGTTTGTGTATTGTGATCTAATTATTCAGTTCTAAATTTGCATGTTTGTGTATTGTGATCTAATTATTCAATTCTAAATTTGCATGTTTGTGTATTGTGATCTAATTATTCAATTCTAAATTGGCTTGTTTGTGTATTGTGATCTAATTATTCAGTTCTAAATTTGCATGTTTGTGTATTGTGATCTAATTATTCAGTTCTAAATTTGCATGTTTGTGTATTGTGATCTAATTATTCAGTTCTAAATTTGCATGTTTGTGTATTGTGATCTAATTATTCAGTTCTAAATTTGCATGTTTGTGTATTGTGATCTAATTATTCAGTTCTAAATTTGCATGTTTGTGTATTGTAATCTAATTATTCAGTTCTAAATTTGCATGTTTGTGTATCTGTTCCTGATGAAGGTGAAGCCCGTTGCTGTGAGACGCAGGAAGCGCTCACCGAGTCAGAACCAGGGAGGAGGAGGAGGAGGGGAGGGAGCGCCGGCCGGTGACACCACGACCACAACGCCCAGGAAGAAAAAGAGAAGGCCAAAGCAGACAACTGCAGAGGAGCCAGATCCAAGTCAGAATGCCGAATCATCTCAGCCAACGGTAATAGCCGTGTGCTTTGGGAATTCCAATTGATGACATATTCATAATTCTAAACCTTACCCTAGGCCTTTCACTTCTTCATCTTTCCTCTTTGGGGAAGAGAGATAACTGTGTCCCCTCAAGAGAGATAACTGTGTCCCCTCAAGAGAGATAACTGTGTCCTCACAAGAGAGATAACTGTGTCCCCCCAAGAGAGATAACTGTGTCCTCACAAGAGAGATAACTGTGTCCCCACAAGAGAGATAACTGTGTCCCCACAAGAGAGATAACTGTGTCCCCACAAGAGAGATAACTGTGTCCCCACAAGAGAGATAACTGTGTCCTCACAAGAGAGATAACTGTGTCCCCCCAAGAGAGATAACTGTGTCCCCACAAGAGAGATAACTGTGTCCCCTGTGTCCCCACAAGAGAGATAACTGTGTCCTCACAAGAGAGATAACTGTGTCCCCACAAGAGAGATAACTGTGTCCTCACAAGAGAGATAACTGTGTCCCCTGTGTCCTCACAAGAGAGATAACGGTGTTCCCTGTGTCCTCACAAGAGAGATAACTGTGTCCTCACAAGAGAGATAACTGTGTCATCACAAGAGAGATAACTGTGTCCCCACAAGAAAGATAACTGTGTCCTCACAAGAGAGATAACTGTGTCCCCTGTGTCCCCACAAGAGAGATAACTGTGTCCCCACAAGAGAGATAACTGTGTCCCCCCAAGAGAGATAACTGTGTCCTCACAAGAGAGATAACTGTGTCCCCTGTGTCCTCACAAGAGAGATAACTGTGTCCTCACAAGAGAGATAACTGTGTCCTCACAAGAGAGATAACTGTGTCCCCTGTGTCCTCACAAGAGAGATAACTGTGTCCTCACAAGAGAGATAACTGTGTCCCACTTTGGGGAAGAGAGATAACTGTGTGTTCATGAACTGCCAGGAAAGTTTGTGGTAAATCGTTGCCAACAGTTCCTGTGACCAATTCTGCTCCTCCCTGTTTCATTGTGTTGAGATTCTTGTTGACCGTGCGGGTGTCACTGGATAGTTCAATGTGCAGTAAATGTCATTGTGTGGTGTTGTGGTCGCTGTTAATCAGCTGTTATTTGAGTCAGTATGTAGCAATAGGCCGCGCCTGTAGTGCCAGAACGCGCCCCAGCCAGGGGTGTCCCCGGGAACACGGTTATTTATAGCATTGTTCTTTGCGTGAGCCGCATGTATCATACATCAATACAAGAGGGAGAAATTGAGGCTTCCAATGAGGAAAAATTGTCCGGTATCTTCGCGACAGACAGGGTTGGTGATTTTTTATTTTTTTTCAAAAAAATCAAAAAAATCGATTTTTAAAATTTAAATCATGATTTTTAAAATTTAAATCAGATTTTTTTGATTTTTTTGATTTTAAAAAAAATGTCGACACAGTTTGGGATTTTTGGTTGCTAAAAGTATGTTCTTTTAGTGCAAAATGCATTGTCTTAATTTAACTAATGATTAAATTAAGCACCCCCTAAAAAGAAACCCCCAATCTGCTCTTTCAAAAGTGTTTATTCCTTGTCTTCTCCCCCTCTATTTCTCTACATAAAAAATTTTTTTTTAAAAAAAAAAAAAAAAAAAAAAAAAAAATTTTTATATTTTTTTTTTTTTCAGTGAATTATGGCTCCAGACAAAAAATGAAGAAAATGTCAGTCTAAAAGGAAGGGGTGGGGGGGGGGGGTAATTATGTTTAGATAAACTTGCATTTTATTACAGTGTGTGTGTGTGTGTGCGTGCTTGTGTTTGTCTAAAAAGAAAAAGAAAATATTAATTTCAATAATGAAAAAAAAGTAAATTGAATGCTGTATTATTTTACAGTGAAAGGGGGGAAAGCAGACTTTTAAGCATGATTTTATTAGTCTACTAAACCTTATATACTGTTTTATAAAACCAAGGAAAGGAATTTTGAATATTTAAAGATGTAAAAACAATATATTTTTTTAAAGTGATTTAAATCACTGAGTTTTATTTTTTAAATCAAGTTGATGAAAATTTTTTTTTAATCAACTGATTTAAATCGACCTGATTTAAATCAACCCAACCCTGATTTCAATTATGAAAAAAAAGTCAATTGAATATTGTATTATTTTACAGTGACAGGGGGGAAAGCAGACTTTTAAGCATGATTATATTAGTCTACTAAACCTTATATGTTTAATAAAACCAAGGAAAGGAATTCTGAATGTTCAAATATGTAAAAACTGAATACATTTGTTAAAAAGTGATTTAAATCACTGATTTTTATTTTAAAAATCAAGTTGATTGAAATATTTAAAAAATCAACTGATTTAAATCAACCCAGCTCTGATTTCAATTATGGAAAAAAAAGTAAATTGAATACTGTATTATTTTACAGTGAAAGGTGGGAAAGCAGACTTTTAAACATGAATTGTATTAGTCTACTTAACCTTATATCTGTTTTATGAAACCAAGGAAGGGAATTCTGAATGTTGAAATATGTAAAAACTGAATAAAAATAAATTTTTAAAAAAGTGATTTAAATCACTGATTTTTATCCAAAAAATCAAGTTGATTTAAATTTAAAAAATCAACTGATTTAAATCAACCTGATTTAAATCAACCCAACCCTGGCGACAGACGAGTATTTATCAAAGAAAGAGGATTGATCAGTATCGAAACCCGCTGAATGGCACTGTGATTTTCCGATTCTCCTTATTCAGAAGGTGCTGAGACCATCTAAATATTACCTAAACATTTGGCAGCCAATGAGAAGATGAATCCGTGGAATGTTCTTGCATCATCTCGCACAGGCTGAGCTTTATAATGTTGGGAGCTATGTTGTGAAATTCTCCGTAAAACGATCACTTTTGGAAAAAATAACGTCGATTTTGTTCCTCTTTTTGGCCCAAAACCGGAAAGGGAAACTGCGGCCCACGGAACATGCTTGCTGCCATCTCGCTATGATGTCATGGCTGCTTAAAGCGTAGCCACTGATTGGACAGTTATTTTAATCGGGTTAAATACCAGGGAAAACACCGTACTCATAGACACAGACATAGTGAAGGTGTCTTTCTATATCCCATCACAAATAATTGGGATTAATTTTGGTTTTACTCGAATTGAGTGCGGATATGGACTTCAAGATAACCTGCATATCATGTTCTTCTAGTATTTCCAATGTTTTTGGCAGAATCACAATGATGATTTCTTCTTTCACATGACAGACAGATCCCCAAGGCAGCAAAACCAGCCTCATCAGCAAAGACGGAGAGACCCCACGCAAAAAGGCAGGTGGAAAGAAAAAGAAGAAAGTGAAGAAAGCTTCCGCTGAGGCAGTTGACGAAGATGATTATGGGGAAAGTCCATGGGCGGAAGATCTCCGCACGATGCACGATGACATCATCACAGGAAGCCAGGACGGGGAGGAGGACGGGGAGGAGGGGGAGGCCAGGGGGGCCGGCACCAAGAAAGTCACCAACATGTTTGTGGCTGCCCCGATTCTCAAGAGCCAGCCTCTGGAGAAAATTTTCATCGAAACCAGCAGTAAGTTTTGACGAGACTGGTTTTTGCTTCTAGCTTGCTCTCTTTTTTTTTCTTCCCAATCTGGTCACACTTGAAGGACCGTCCTCTATCACAGGTTTCCCAATCTGGTCACACGTGACGTAGTGTCCTCTATCACACTAATCACAGGTTTCCCAATCTGGTCACACGTGACGTAGTGTCCTCTATCAGAGGTTTCCCAATCTGGTCACACTTGAAGGACCGTCCTCTATCACAGGTTTCCCAATCTGGTCACACGTGACGTAGTGTCCTCTATCACACTAATCACAGGTTTCCCAATCTGGTCACACGTGACGTAGTGTCCTCTATCAGAGGTTTCCCAATCTGGTCACACTTGAAGGACCGTCCTCTATCACAGGTTTCCCAATCTGGTCACATGTGACGTAGTGTCCTCTATCACAGGTTTCCCAATCTGGTCACACTTGACGTAGCGTCCTCTATCACAGGTTTCCCAATCTGGTCACACTTGACGTAGCGTCCTCTATCACAGGTTTCCCAATCTGGTCACATGTGACGTAGTGTCCTCTATCACAGGTTTCCCAATCTGGTCACACTTGACGTAGCGTCCTCTATCACAGGTTTCCCAATCTGGTCACATGTGACGTAGTGTCCTCTATCACAGGTTTCCCAATCTGGTCACACTTGACGTAGCGTCCTCTATCACAGGTTTCCCAATCTGGTCACACTTGACGTAGCGTCCTCTATCACAGGTTTCCCAATCTGGTCACACGTGACGTAGTGTCCTCTATCACACTAATCACAGGTTTCCCAATCTGGTCACACTTGAAGGACCGTCCTCTATCACAGGTTTCCCAATCTGGTCACACGTGACGTAGTGTCCTCTATCACAGGTTTCCCAATCTGGTCACACTTGACGAAGTGTCCTCTATCACATCTGGCCGTCCTGCTCCGTTCTCCAGTTTTCCCGCACAGCCTCTCATGTTGCCTATATGGCTTGTGGACTGTTGGGGCCTTTTCTCTCAGCCGATTTTTCTCTGGATTTTTGTGCTTGGCAGGTGCTCAGATGTGGTGTGCTCCTTCTTTCCTGTCAACCGCCTGTCGTCCTTATCTCCCCTCCTCCTTTCCTGTCAACCGTCTGTCGTCCTTATCTCCCCTCCTTCTTTCCTGTCAACCGCCTGTCGTCCTTATCTCCCCTCCTTCTTTCCTGTCAACCGTCTGTCGTCCTTATCTCCCCTCCTTCTTTCCTGTCAACCGTCTGTCGTCCTTATCTCCCCTCCACTTGGCTGTGTATATTACACTTCAGGAGCTCCCCCAATGTTCAGCTCTTAAATGACAGGATTGTGTCGCTTGTTCTGGAAAACTCGAACTGAAACTGAGAAAAATAAATGGTTTTCTGTCGGTCTTATCTCATACAGTTTTTCCGTTTGTTTTATACGTCATACGGGATATCTTGTACGTGTCATGTGTCACTTCACTCTGAATATCTTGTACGTGTCGTTGTGTCACTTCACACTGGATATCTTGTATGTGTCGTTGTGTCACTTCACACTGGATATCTTGTACGTGTCATGTGTCACTTCACTCTGGATATCTTGTACGTGTCATTGTGTCACTTCACACTGGATATTTTGTACGTGTCGTTGTGTCACTTCACACTGGATATCTTGTACGTGTCGTTGTGTCACTTCACACTGGATATCTTGTACGTGTCATGTGTCACTTCACACTGGATATCTTGTACGTGTCATGTGTCACTTCACACTGGATATCTTGTACGTGTCATGTTCTTGTCTAGCATCTGCGTTTGTTGCCATTTTTTTGTCCAAAAGTTCCCAAAAGTTGCCCAAAAAAATGACAAAAGTTGCCAAAAAAATTGCCCTTAATTGTCCAGCTTTCACCTCTCTGTGACGACGTACAGCAATATGTTGATAGAGGTAACGTAATCTAACCCACCAGAATTTCTTATACTCTGTTTTAAGCATCCAGAATATCTTTTGCAGCCTCACAAAGTGTTTAGTTTTAGTAGAAGTTTTACGGGGCTCGCAACTACATAAGGTCATATGAGCGCCAGAAGATTAGAGGTGTTATAAGAGAGTAGTAACAAACAAAAAAATTAAAGAAGAAGGGGAGATTAGGACGATTGATGTTTCATAGGAAAGAAGAAACAAACCACACCAGAGCACCTGCCAACCACCCACACACAGAGTGTAAAAACGTGAAAAATAAAGGTTTCACAACAGAAGGAAATCAAAATTAGAACAGCAAATAAACAAACACAAAAATTAACAAATAAGGGCGTGTGTCAACCCATCCATAGATTGGCCGTTTTAACCTTAAATGTGTGTAATTCAAGAAAAAGTACCGGATCTAACATGTAGATCATGGAGTGGTAGATCATGGAGTGGTAGATCATGGAGTGGTAGATCATGGAGTGGTAGTTCATGGAGTGGTAGATCATGGAGTGGTAGATCATGGAGTGGTAGATCATGGAGTGGTAGATCATGGAGTGGTAGATCATGGAGTGGTAGATCATGGAGTGGTAGTTCATGGAGTGGTAGATCATGGAGTGGTAGATCATGGAGTGGTAGTTCATGGAGTGGTAGATCATGGAGTGGTAGATCATGGAGTGGTAGATCATGGAGTGGTAGGTCATGGAGTGGTAGATCATGGAGTGGTAGATCATGGAGTGGTAGGTCATGGAGTGGTAGATCATGGAGTCTCCCACAAGGGGCCTGCCAGTGTCAGTGTTGGGTTTAGGTGGAGACAGGCTGCAACATAACTAGAACACATTGTTGAGAAAAAGTAGGAAGAACATTACGCTATATAAACACATACAAAATGGAAAAATAACACATCAGAACAATATCGAGAAAAATGAACACACCAACAAAATAGAACTCCTCAAAGAGAGAAACATGAAAGAGAAACAGCAATAGAAATAGTATGTAATGTGGCCTTCTTAAAGTACTTATGTTCTTCACAGGAAAATTACAAATCAACGTAGTACTGTTACCAAGTGAGAAAGAGACGAGGTACAAACATGTAAAGCGAAAGTGAAAATAAAGAGGATTAGTTTCTTTTTTTAACGAATATTGTTCCCAGTTTTTGTTTTTGTTGTTTTTAAATTATTTTTTCTTCCCGGCAGTGTTTTTTTGTTGGAAAAATGTAAAAATTGCGGCCACGATTCGTGGACCCAAAAATGCCAAAAATCGCGGCCGCGACAAATGCAGATGCTAGTCTTGTGTCACTTCACACTGGATATCTTGTATGTGTCGTGTCGTTGTGTCACTTCACACTGGATATCTTGTACGTGTCGTTGTGTCACTTCACACTGGATATCTTGTACGTGTCGTTGTGTCACTTCACACTGGATATCTTGTACGTGTCGTTGTGTCACTTCATGCTGGATATCTTGTACGTGTCGTTGTGTCACTTCACACTGGATATCTT